GTAAAGAAAACCTTTATGCCTTCTGGGCCCAAAATTGGAAAATAAAATATCCATTGTCAAAATCGTATGCTATCAGAAAGCAAGAAGTAAGAAGTAATGTACGTTCATTTTCTTTCCATGCTGCAATACAAATATGTCTTGGGAGGGTGGATTTATCTACGATGAACATACGTGTATTTCTAATTTTAAAAAAGATTCCATCGTTACTAACATACGGTGTTCATGTCAATGTTGGTAAAATTTTTCAAAGTAGTCATCTTCGATTTTAACGCTCACCAGCAAACGTTCTGCCCATTGGCCACGTGATATGCTCCGAAGCGCTCTGTCACAGAAGCTTAAGGATTTCCATCCCTAATGGAACCTAATTCCCTACCCTTAAATGTTTGTCATGAACATAGTACTCTGATATTATATTAAAGTATTATATAGTGGAAAAAGATTGCCCGTGAGAAAATAAAAAAAAATTCATTAATTAAGCAGTAGTTAATTAACAAAGATTGCATTGAAGTCCATGGATCAATCAATCAATCAATCATTCTTTATTTCCTCCTCATGGAGATATATGAAATATGACATACAATTAAATAAATATTACACTAGTTCCATTAAAACAGATATAAACATACAAAATATGAAAAACACAAAAAGACAATATATGAGAAAACATACACATAAACAAAACAGAAACATATTTACAAAACCTTTAAAGGACTGCTGAGGATGAGAGGGAAAATGGAAAAAAAAGGGGGGGGGGGCAAAAAGAAAAAAAAGGGGGAAGTTACACGTTATTTTGTGCCTGACAGCGTTAAGGAAGTGCCCTGTTGTAGTGTGCGGCTGCGCTTCGAACAAGGTTAAAATTCAATAACCGAAAAGATTCATTGTCTGATTCATAATTTGTATGGCGTCCTAGTAGAACTAAAAACCATTCATTTTCGGTTAAGCCGCACAATACTCCGCATAGACGTATGTCGAAACAGTTTGTGATCACATTCCACCAGTTATTCCTTATTTCTGTGGTACGTGTAGTGGACATGCACAAGTGGAATGCTGAAAAACATTAGAGAAGGTTCTTCGACAAATGACACAATTTTCGAGATGTTCTTTTGAGCATGAATTGGTACACAGTTTGCAGATGAACTTGCAGAGTTCAATTTCTTCGTAGTTTGCGGCTATATTCCAGATAATAGAGGGTTTCGAGTCCGAGAAAATTTGTGTGAAGGAATTAAAATCAGGGTCGTGAGACATTCGTATTTGGCACTGAGATATGTGCGAAGCCATGACACTGCCGCGTACCATTTTCTTCCAAGCAGATTTCAAATGGAAAGAACCATCCTCCTGAAATTTCCATAAATGGGAGACAAGGTTGTATGATTGGAGAGTCCTTATAATATCATAAATAAAACCAGATTGAGCATCCGAGAGGCTGTGGAGGTAAGAAAATAGTCTTACAAGAAATACTAGTATTGATTTTGTTAATGTCTTTGGATTCAAACGAATTAATCTTCCAAAAAATAAAAGTTTACGTGCGTCAATTTCAGAGCATATAGGTAAGACGTCAAAGAATGATTCGCACATGTCTGACCGGCACAATTTTGGTAAGTTGAGTGAGTTTTTGCAAATAAAGTGTTGGAATGTGTTGAGTCGAACTTTATCAGCGGATGTCATGTTGTTCCAGAGTTCACACCCGTAAAGTACTGACGGTAGCACGATCGTTTTGTACAAATGAGACATCGTCTTGGGATTAAGAAACTGTGTACCAAGATCGGATAGTTCAAAGTAAGATTTGCGTCCTTTATTGCAAGCTTCGTGTATTCTGTCAGATAGTTTACACTTATGGTTGATAACGATTCCTAAGTGGTTATAGGAATGTTCACATGATACTTCGGAGGGACCCAAGTGCCATGATGTTTGATCTAGGTTTGAACCTTTGGCTTGAAATTGTAAAACACAGGACTTGAACGCATTAAATGTAAATCGCCATTTACATGAATAGTTGTATGCGATATCTAACTGCATTTGAAGTGCTAATAGTGAAATACCAATTAATGACAGGTCGTCAGCTAAGGAGGGGCAGTTGCTAGGGATATCTAATATCCCAGTATTTGGGCTACCCAACTGTAGATCACGAATGAGATCATTGATAAAGACAAGGTATAAGAAGGTCGAAAGTACTCCACCTTGTCTGACACCTTGATTAACCGGAAACCAATCTGACTGGGTTTGGTTTGCAACAATTGAACGAACTGTATTTTGCTGACATTGGTTGATTAGAGACCATAATCTACCAATAATGCCAAGATCGTATAACTTGAGCATGAGACCAGGCCTCCACACCGTGTCAAATGCTTGCCTGGTATCAAGAAAACTCACGTAAACATTACTACCTTGTTCCAAGTTATGTAGAATTGTCTCTTGTAGATTAAACGACGCTGTCAGGCAACCTAACTCTTTCTGAAAACCCTGTTGTTGAGCGTGTGGGAAATCTTTATTGAGTAAAACATAATTAGTAATACGATTATGTATAACTTTTTCAAACAATTTTAAAAGGCAAGGCAATAAGGCTACAGGCCTGTAACTGTTACAGGAATTTTTAGGCTTATTGCCACCTTTGTATAATGGAACTATCAGACCACGTTTCCAGCAAACAGGGATATGACCACAATTTACAATTGCGTTAATATATCTAAATACACTGAGCTTTCAATGCCTACATATCTGTACTGTATTCAATTTCAATGAATTTGTTACTATTATCGATTGAATACCTTAAAGATTTTTTCGACTCTTAGATCTATATATTTCTTACCAATTGCAAGTTATCATTTTTATAACAAAAATAGTCCATTTGTCAGAAATGGCCAAATCTCGGCAATCGTATGGGTATATAATGATATCCTTATCCAGATTGAGCATGATGACATTCAAAACCCACGCACGCGCTAGTCCTCGGTCTTTGGAGCGTCGATTATTCAATTAGGATAAAAAAGTAGGTATATATACAGTGGACCCTCATTTATCCGGACGCTTTGGTTCCCCTGTATATGCCTTCTTTTTATCATATCTGTTATGTTTAAAGTCTAAAGTAAACGATATTTTAGGGATTTAATCATTATATTATATAATTGTAAAGATATTCGCCTATATTTTTCTACTTGTAAGTTGGCGATATTTCATATCAAATTACTTAACAAAGAACTCGTCTCTTTCAACGGAACAAACATCATTTTTAAGACAAAACTTCTTGCTAGTCTTTTGTCTTCATAAACTTCATAAAGAAAATTCCAAGATATACGTTTTATTACTTTAAAGTCGTTCGTTGCTCGACTGAGTCAACCAATCTTTTTTTTTGTCACACGCGCGATCTACATAATATTGATATCATTTTCACACTGTTACGTCACAAACATTGAGCAAAACATTTCATTACATATGCTATTTATTGAGCATGTGTATGATCATTCTGATCCGAATTGTGGTTTTGTAGATATGGACATTATTATAATAGTTTGCGAACTCTTTGATCACCTCTTGTACATGTAAAAGAGTCTTTTTGCAATTCAATATTTAGATAGAAACTTGCTATTTGCAAATATGTTAATGTTACAAGGCTAATCAGGTTGATATCTCAGTGCTGTCATTAGTATTGTTTTAATTCAGCATTCCACAAATCCTTTGGTCGCTGTGATGTTTTTTATGAGCCCAGATCGATAGACCGATGATGCATATTGTTTTTGTCCAGGCTGTCTGTTTGTATGTTTATCTGTTTAGCTGTATGCCTGTTTGTCTTTCTGTCTGTTGTCAATTTTAACCTTCGCCATAACTTTTGAACCACGAGAGATAGAAACTTCGTATTTGGTTTGCTTACTTCACTAATTGAGTTTTTTTTCAAATGACATCAAGATCAATGACCTTATGGCCTTGACTTTTACCTGGATGCTAAAAATAGCCTTTTTGAACCTTCGTCATAACGTTTGAACAATAAGAGATAGAGACTTCATATTTGGTGTGCATACTCCACTAATATTAATTTCTTTCAAATGACCTTGTGACATTGACTGTAACGTATATACTAAAAATAGCTTTTTCGAACTTTGTTGCTGCCGGACGCTTAGTGTTTCACAAACAAATTTTGTTTTATTTTTTATGTGCCTGAATCAATAGATCCGGGGCGTATATTGTTTTCGTCCTGTCTGTTTATCTGTCTATTGTCAACTTTAACCTCCGCCATTACTTTTGATCCATGAGAGATTAAGACTTCATATATTTAGTATAGGCATACTCCACTAATTAAGCTTTTAAAAATGACACCAAGGTCAATGTTCTTGTGACCTTGACTATGACCTGTATGCAAAAAATAGCTTTTTCGAACTTTCATCATTACTTTCGAATCATAGGAGATAGAGACTTCATATTTGGTATGAATACTTCACTAATGAAGTTTTTCCAATTGACACCAACTGAAGGTAAATGACCTTGTAACCTTGACAGTGACCATATGCTTAAAATAGCTTTTACGACTTTGTTGCCGACGGGCGCATACATGTAGTGTTTCACAAACACATCTTGTTTTTTTTTTTTTTTTTGCAAAATGGTTGACTTCACAGATTGTTAAAAATAACTAAGTTTAAAACTGCGGATAAATTAGAGAAATACTATATACAGGGAAATTTTCGCCCCCGTTTTATTTTCGCCCATCTCGCCCTCGTCACAAGTGGGCGAATTTAAAATGGGGCGAATTAAAAAATAACAGTATTAATTCTCAAACAAAACTGTGAGTGGGCGAATTTAAAACTGGGCAAAATTGTTCACAAATGTAAAAGGGTGAAAATAACACAGGGCGAAAATAACCCTGTATACAGTATGCAGATTGTTAAAATAAAATAAATCTACAAGACTTGAAGGCTATTAATTCTTTGTTTATTGCCGAATGTTACATTGTAAGTCCCCGAAGTATTCAGTCATTAATGACATTTATTTGTATTGTATTTTTTTCACTTTACCACTTATCAATTCGGCCACAAAGAGGTTGTCTTTGGTGTCCACACACAGACCGTATGGAAGGTGTAAATTACATTTGTCGATATAAAAGAGAAATCCCCCATCCTGGTCCAGGATGTGGATGCAGTTGTTCTCACTGTCTGCTACCAGGATGAGACCCTGACTGTCTGTCGTTATGCCGACTGGATCAATTGATTTGGTTGTAGATGAGGGATGGCCATTATATCGAAATCGGAGTTCCCCAGCTTGATTGACCACTACTACAGCTCTAGCTTTATTGTCCGCCACACATATATCCAGGTTCCTGTTCTCACAATATATTTCCTGTAATCCGAAGAATACAGCGGACAATCTTTGTCGTCATATTGAATGATTTGTTTTTCTTTGGATCCTGAGTAACGAACTACTCTGCATTGCCCTGCATCATCTCTGAGCATGGTAACCAGAAGATCTTCGGAGGATGTAATACAGACATAGTAGGGCTTCCACTCCTGTAGTCTGATCCTTTCCTGTGTCTGTCTATCCCTTACTACGTTTACAGTTCTTCTGACGGGATCGGTATAGATTAAAATTCCATTTTCTGCCACTGCTATGTTCCCTGGTTCATTCTTTGACTTGGTTTCGATTAGACTCAGTAGCTCGCCATGGAGGTTATAAAGTTTTATGATTTCGTCTCTTTCGCAGGTCCAGATTTCTTCATCCCTTCGACAAGCAACAGAAGTGAGTCCATATCCGGTGTTTATAGTGGAGATGAGCTTTGGTTCATCAAGTAGTGATTTGTCGGAAAGGGGGGATACGTCTTCTGATGCTTTTTTCTTGTAACCCCTTTCCTCTGTCATAATTGATAATGCTGACAAAGAACCAATAAGTTGGTGACATGTACTTTGTTTGTCGTATTGTGAGGGTACAAAACGTGGAAATGAAATTTTGAATTTAGGTGGCAATTTTCTAAAATTACCGTTTCTTGATTTATATGCACAAATAAGGGACAAATCACTAGATTTGAGAATTTTCTTCATTTCAAGAATGCAGTTTTGAAGTTCAGAAGTAATACATTTGATTTCATTTTCCTGCTATTAAGAAAAGCCACATGTTTATTTTTCAGTGCAGTAATTTCACTCTTTTGTAAGTCGACAACAATATCAATTTCTTTATGCCAATCATTGCCTTGTTTGATGACGTCATTTGTTAGTTTCGTACAATACTTTTCCAAATTTGCTTTTCCAATTTGTATATTTGAAGATATTCCTTCATATCTGGGATTAAGTTGTCCTCTAGTTCTTTTAAATCTGTCTCTAATTTTTCTCTTTTGGTACTGTGTTTTTCAAAAAAGTCTGCAATTTTATGTTCTTGGTGCTTTCCAGAAGAGATACAGCCGGAACAAACAGGATGTCACAGGTTTCACAGTACATCTCACAATGTTTTATAGCATGGATTGAACATTTAGGATAGTTGTAAGTGAAGGTAGAAAATTTTGCTTTGAAAGGCACGACTCTATGATTTTTGGACGAATCGGACAGGTGCTCCCCTACACAATCCTTGCAAACGTTGGCATTACAAAGTTCACAATGACTCTGTATGACAGAGTTTTCACAATGACTGCAGCATAAGACGTCTTGGGCACAGTTTGGGGTATCCATTTCCGGTATCTTGAACATGAACTAAGTAGATGGCACTAAAACAAATAAATGGTTGGTGAATTAAAGATTGATTCTTCATGTCTTTTTATGCCGAAGTTTCGGGGGTATATAAACTATATATAGTTTTTTGTCGTGTCCGTCCGTCTGTCTAGGTGTTTGTCTGTTTGTCTGCAAAAACATTAATCTTGCCCATAACTTTTGATTTAGTAGAGCTATGGCTTTCATATTTCAGTATTTCTTATGACAAGACCTTTCTTTGGGACACCAAATTTGACCTTTGAGTTTGACCCACTTTTACACAAAAATTCCAA